TCATATAACTCACTTATTTAAAGCGTATAAGCCTGTGGATTTTAGTATTTGAGATACAACCATTATTACAAGTCAATTTTAGAACATTTCCATCTCAAAAGGCAAACTCCCTAATTTTCAGCTATCATCCCCCTGTCTCTTAACCCCCTACCAAACCACCAATCAACTTTTTGTCTCCCATTTCCCACTTCTAGACTTTCTTGTGAATAGAATCAAGTAACGTGGTCTTTTGTGACTGGTCTCATTCCGTTAGCACCCTAGTTTGAACATCTATCCAAGTTGTATTTTGTATGGCTGGATAATATTCCATGGCATGGATGTCATCATATTTTGTTTATCCATTAATATTTGATGGATATTTGAATTGCTTCCATCTTTTAGCTATGATAAATTGTGCCACAGTAAACTTGAAGTTTTTGTGTGGAGATTTCTTGTCATGGAAATCTTAGTTATGGAAATGCTGAGTGATGGCCTTTTTTGATCATTTTAAGAATCCCGTTTTCCAAAACAGCTTACCATTGTACATTTGTAGGAGCAATGCATGATGGTTGTGATTTTCACTTGCTTTGTAATGATGTTGAACCTTTGTGCATGTGCTTTTTGGCCATTTGTGTATCTTCCCTGGAGAAATGTCTATTCTAGCCTTTTATTGATTTATAAATTGCGTTGCCATTTTATTACTGAGCTAGGAGTTTTCTATAGTCTACAAACAAGCCCCTTGTCAGATATATGTTTAACAAATATTGTCCACACTTCTGTGGGTTGGCTTTTCACTCTCTTGATGGTGTCATTTGAAACACGCATGTTTTTACTTTTGATGAAGTTCCAATTTATCCTTTTCTATCTGTGCTTTTGTTGTCGCAGGACCAATTGTCAAACCCAAAGTTACAAAGATTTACAGGTTTCCTTCTATGAGCTTTGTAATTTTAGGTCTTATTTTCCCCCAAATGATCTTGGCATGCTTCTTGAAAATCAGTTGACCAAAGATGTATTGGTTCGACATTCTAATTCAGTTCCCTTGCATATTTCTTTCCTTGTGCCAGTACCACACCGTCTTGAGTAGTGATGTTTTATAGTTGTTTAAAAATTGGAAAGTGTCCTCTTTTGTTCCCTTTCGGGGTTGTTTTGGCTATGCTGGGCTCCTTGCAGTTCCACATGAATATTAGAATCACCTTGTCAATTTCTACAAAGAAGCCAGATGGGATTCTAAAGGGTGCTATAGTTTTAGCCTACACTTTCTGCTAGTCAGCTAAAGAAAAATCCTGCAAACTGACCAAAAAGATTTTAAATATATAAATTTATGTCCTGCATAATTCAATCCAAAGCCAGGATGTGGGACTGAGCAAAGTAGGCATCTGGGGCGGGGTTGGGTAGGGGATGAAAGCAGTAGCCCAAGTAGCTCAAGGGATCTCAGAGCCCATGGGGTAGGGGCAAGGAGAGTGTCTGGGAATCGTGTGTGCAGCAGCCTCGCAGGGAGTATTCTCATTGTAGAGGGAGAGCAGTGTGATGGCGTCTGAATGGAAGAATTCTTGAGAAGGGCCTAACAAGGATTTAGTTAGGTGGAGAGAAAGAGGTACAAGGGCTGTGGCAGTCTGACTAGATGTTAGAGCTCAACTGAGAGTAGAGTATGTGATGAATTACAATAGCCACGAGTATATGATTACACAGGGAAGCTTCAAAAAAGTATTAGAAAAATGGAATTGAAAAATGTTCCGTTAAAGACTTACAGCCTTGAGAACCCAAAGCGGGCAGCAGTTCTACTCGGTCCTAAAGTCAGAGTTGAGTTCCTTGTAGTTGTGTATATTGAGAGGAGCGGGTGATGCTTCCATACAGATATAAAAATGTAAGTTAGGAGAGATTTTCCTTACAGTACAAACATAAATGTAAAAGGAATGATGGAAATATAAAATTCACGGATAATAATAATTCAGTCAATTTTTACTGAATGTAAAAACCAGCCCATGAGCTTGATGAAGACTGGGACACTTAGGTCTCCACAAATAAATACATCAAAAGGCAAAAAGTCACTTTATCTTGAAGAATCTGGCAAACGCTTTAATTAGGTGATCAATGTAGCATCATCAATATAGACACAAATTTGGAACTGTGTCCTCGAAGGATATAATGAAGTTAGACCGTTGGAAAAATGAACAGTATACGTTTAGGGGGAGTTATAAAGGACATTAACATTTACTTTGAGCCAAGCATGACCTGCTGCTTATGGTATTAGAAATTTTATGATTAAATTCTCACAATTAGCAGTGGACTTTGTTTAGGCTGTCATGGTACCTTTAAAGAGCCTCTTCTCCCTCGTAGCATGTAAGTTTGAAAAAGTAAAAACTGCACCACTAGATAGTGCCTGCTTCTCATGTACCTCCTCCTCATGGTGGATCACCTGGTCTTCTCTCTCATCTGCCACTACTACCAGCCTGCTTAATTCTATCTGCTCTTCTTGGCCTAAGATAACCAACCCCCTTCCAAATATGACTGGTTCTCTTCTCCCACCCACCCCCCAACTCATGCCTTTCAGTTGATTCCAACTCACAGTGATCCCACAAGACAGAGTAGAACTGCCCCTGGGGGCAGCCAGGACTATAAATCTTTACAGGAATAGAAAGCCTCATCGAGTGGGGCGGCTGGTAGTTCTGGACTGCTCATCTAGTGGTTAGCAGTCAACACATAGCTCACTGTGCCACTACCTTGCCATGAGGGGCAGTGTAATCTTCCTTCAGGTAAGTCACCTGTACAATATGCAGCTGGAATACAAATTCCTCTCCCCTCTTCACTTCCCCATTTCTCCCAGAGAACTGGTCACAATATATAATTACCCAGTTATGTTTCCCTAAATATTCTCCATGGGCGAGTATTTTATGACATGCTTATAGCTCTTCTCTCAGTAACCCCGAACCAAACCTACTATAATCAGCTTGTTTCCAATCTATAGTGACACTATAGGTCACAACAAGCCAAGAAACTCAACCCCACTGCCATCAGTTCATTCAGGCTCAGGCTTCCTAGACTATGCATCTTTATTGTAAATCTTTACTGAAGCAGACCGGTTCATCTTTCTCCAGTAGAACAGCTGGTGGGTTCAAACCACTCACCACGACATCACCAGAGTTCTTTATATCAGTTTAGTATACATGTATATATAGATATATTTGTATAAGACGACACTGCAGTTTCCTGTTTCCCTCCTTTCCTTTAGGTGTGTTATGTGTAAAAGTGGGTGCTTTCCATGATAAATAAAAATGTCCAATTCTTTAAGAGGAGAAGTACTGAATCTTTATAAAAATGTAAGTAATTACAAATTGCCAAGTTTATCAATGTTATTATGTAACACGGATTGTTTAGAAATGTCTAATCTTTCTTTTTAAGCTGCTGTATCTTGGGAGAGAGTATCCAAAAGGAGCAGACTATTTTAAAAGGCGTCTGAAGACTGTTTTCCTTAAAAACAAAGATGTGACGGACCCAGTGAAGATCAAAGAACTTATTGGACGGGGCGAATTCGTAATGAAAGAGCTAGAGGCCTTATACTTTCTTAGGAAATACAGAGCTATGAAGCAACGCTATTATCCAGAAGGCAAACAAACTAACTGATCATTGTTACGATAATTACAGCTGAAAATCAAAGCAAACCATTTATAATTACTAAATAGTATAAAATAATTCTAATTGAAAACAATCAAGGCATCTACATTGTGTAAAAAATACCTGAGCTGCCTTACTGCACTAAATTGAATAGATTCCAGATTTTATTCATAGAGAGTTTAATCAGGCATCCTTTATCTAAAATTTTGTTAAAATTTGTGATATAGCTATAAAATGTTGCCAGCTACAATTATAAAATTAATGAGCACCTAGTTTTGGAATGAAATACTTAAAAACTTTATCAAATCTATAAAGTTCTAGCCCGTTATTGCCAGTTAATTTATCTTACTGACAGGCTGTTTAATTTGCGTAACTACCGTATAGACTCGAGTATAAGCCGACCCAAGTATCAGCCAAGGCACATAATTTTACCACAAAAACTGCATTAAAAATGTGTTGAAAAACTCGGCGTATACATGAGCATATATGGTAAGTGAAATAAATTGTTGCTCATTTATGCCCCACTTTTGAAGGCATAACTTTTGATTCAGTGATTATTAGTACATACTTTTTACTACAAAACAAATAGCACCTGGTAATAGTGTAAATGTAGTTAAGGAATTATATGTATAGTCTATTTAAAATTCCTTATGTATACAGATAATGGGTAAAGTTGGCTTCTGACGAAGAAATGGCCTGATAATATTTGAATTCAATACCTACTTGATTATTTTCCATTAATTGCATTGCTGGCTTCCTTTAGGCCTTAAAACAGATCACCTGTTGTGTACTAAACTTCCCTAATAAAGAGTAGTGAAAGAACTGTTCATAAAGATTTGCTTTCCGTTTACCTCTAAATTAGTTAACATGGCCTAGGACCCCAAACAGCATGGTTTTTAAATTTAAGCAGACCCACTTAAAACTGTTAGAGAATACTGGAACTCTTATTATAAATATATACATTTTCTAAGTTATCATCTGCCCCATAAAAAAAAAACAACACTAAAAAGCAACTTCGGGGCAAATGTTCCAAGTTTCCATCAAGAAATGAGAACTCTCATATTCACCATAACTAGTTTTTATTACATTACAATAATTAGGAGCAGTACAGTTCATGACAAAAATATTACAAATTTCAGATCACTCCACAGCACATACCCCTATAAACATTTAAAAGTTCATTTTCGTGTAAAGAGTGGTCATTCTTAAATTTCATGTTTGATATGACCAACCACATTCCTAGGTCAGCACAACCAAATGATGGAGAACAACTCGATCACACTGCATGTGTCCCACAGAGAAGAAAAAGAAAGCACAATGTACAAAATGTGCATGTTTCAGTTTACACTATACAAAAATAGTTAAAATACATTCCAGGTAAACATGTTACAATAGGAAATAGTACTAGTAAGAAATTGGCACTCAAAGGAAAAAAAAAGTAAAAGTATTTTCAACATGAAAACACAAAAGACAGTGGAATTGGAAACTTTGGATAAAACATTATGTCACCCATTTAACTTTTGGGGGGGGGGCTCCTTGTAATGAACATTTCTGCAGGTAACAACTTTGTGTTTTCTAAACTCACCGAAGTTGCCTATTATCACAACAGGCACTTAAAACTATTAGGCTACAACAGAAATCTTAAAGAGTCATGACTATTTTTTAAATACTGGTGTGAAAATATCTTTCCTTAGAAAGAAATAACTCATATTCTGACTGAATTTACAGCTATCAGTTATATGCTATTCAGTTTATCAAGGCAGAATTCATGCTATCCAGTAGAATACAGAACTTATTACATGTAAATTCAGCTTTAAAGTAATTGCTGGCTTTCTTAAGATCATTAATACATAGTTATCAAGAGATTATTACTTTTCTACAAAAGGAAATTACTTCAGATAGTTTCTGTTACCCGCCCACCCCCCCCACCCCCCAATGATCCATATATGTTGCTTGGAAATGAGTGGGTAGAAGGAAAAAAATGACTGGAATACAAATGAGATGAACTTGTGCAAACTGCAACTTAACATGCCTCATAACATCTCTCTACATTAGGACAAAATTGTGCAATGGTGGCAAAGGTTTTGATAATTTATGACAGGTTCTAAATTCCTATGCAGTGTGACTCATTTAAATAGAACTTAGCATTGCTTGCTGGGAATATTCACTCAAATTATACTACATATTTCTACTACATTCTTCCACAAACATGTTATTGTCTAAGACTATGTATTTTAGTAATTTTTGTTTTAACCTCAAAGAATTTTAAGGCTTTAACAATTATATAGCATCTTATTTCTAGGATCACCTCCGTCTTTAAAATCTCTACAAAACAACTGAAAACATTTAAAATCCACATAATAAAGGATAATTATCACTGCCTTAAAAAAAAAAAGTTGCCCAGCTACAACAAAAATTTAACAATCCTAAAAAAATCTCCTTAATTACATATCACAATTCCTGAAGTATGGCCATTTCTTTCTCTTGTCTAGAACAAGAGGAGGTACTGCATAAAACTTTTCTACCAAAACAATGTTTCATAAATCTGTATCTTAGCATAGTATTTCAGAAACATTGATTTTTTACACAGTTTCCTTTTCTGTGAATTCATTTAGGCACCTGTTCATTTGTTCCCAGATAAAATTATTTAGAACTCAATATTTTTTAAGTCTATTTTAATTATTTACACAAAGAGGTCAACTGGAACATTACACACTTGGGGATATTAATATACCTGATGTACAACTTATAAACTATAAATGTTTTAATAGAATCACAGTTATGTTAAATTAAAAAAATTAATCAAATTCACTCCTTTAAAGCAATGATTTAAAGTGATGTATGTAAAGTGGCTTGATTAAACAGTTACATTTGAATCATAGCAAAACAATTATATTAGAACGAGAAGAAGCCTTAGAAACCATAGACCTTGTTTGCAAAACAAAAGTATGCATCATGTTATCTCTGAGCTGTGTGTCAAATGCCTCCCTCATATAGCACAGGCCACTTCAGAATATAAACACTACCTAAGGACAGTGATGTCTCTCGATTGGGGAGACCATAATATCCTTCAGCGCTTTGCATAGTGCCTATCATCTAGTAGGCACACAATAAATATTCAAGGAATACATAAATGAATTCTGCTTAAAAAAAGTTACACTTTAGAAATTAAATTTCAAAAGTACTTGTCCTTGTAAGATTTTAATTATTAAAATAATGGACAGTATCTCCATAAAAGCTAGTCCTAATTATAGAGTACTTAAGGAATTCTTCCAAAACTACCTTTAGAAAATTTGCTTTCCACTGTAGAGGGTTCTCTCTCCATATAGCAGGCTAGAAAATGCCTACCTTAGTCACTAATGGACCAGGTAGGAGCATCCAGTTGATAGTCAAAGAATAAACGGCTGCAACCACCAACTGAAAATGAGTTATTAGGTCATTAAATCCCATTACGTCATCTGTCATGTGATCTTGAGCCACAAGGAAATAAGATGTAGTAGTACAATTTGATATTTCATGGGGATATTCATAACAAAACATCTTAGAGAACATTAGGGGGATTAAATTTAAAAGAAGGAAAAGCATCAACTCATTGGGGCTTCTGGAAGGTTAGATAAGAAGACACTAATATAATGAACAAAAAATTTAAAAGAATATTCAAAAATAAACTTCACCGCTTGCACAATTTTGCCTGATGACTAGTGCTAAAGATGACAATGCAGGTAAAACATTACAGGTTGTCTGAGCTGACATAAAAGGAGTGTCTTAAGCCAAATGAATATAAATCACAAAGGTCTAAAGCAAGATAGAGCTTTTGAGATGATTTAACATAAACACAATAGAAAGTGATTTATCCAAAATCAGTTTTAAAAGACACATAATGATTAAAACCTTAGTCTCTTTTCTCTTACCACAGTGATATTTTCACCGTACCACATCTCACTTCAAATCTTTTATTGAAACATTTGTTAATGTTTATCTATTTTTTAAAGCATGACATAGTTGTAAATAGGGACCCACCCCCCAAAAATAGGAATTCTGAAACTCTCTGACCTTCCACCAATCTCAATTCTTTTAAAGTTTACATTTTTAATTAACTATTTAAAATTCTGTTGTTAAACAGAGTGGTCCCTATCAGGAGGTCCACCAGGTAGTGAGAATTCATCTCACGGAGCTACTTAAACTCTTTTTCCATTTTCTGCCAACCCATGCATAACGACCATTGGATGACCACAAGGACTCAATCCATGCTGGGAAACCCTCAGTGAAGCACAAAAGTCAACACCAGGGCCTGGACTTAACCATCTTGGCCTCTGAAACACCTACTAAGCTAACTGGCCCAAATGATTAACATCACTACCAAAATCAAAAACTATTTCAAAGACTCAAGGTTAAGAAAAGTTTAGCATTATGTTAAGAAAAAGGAACCCAACACAGTAAGACTACATTTAATTCCTATGAGTATTTTTAATATATGTTATCCCACCCCAATTAGAAAAATTTAGTAGCCCCAAAATGGTTGCTATGTTCCCCACTACATACGGAATCTGACTTAACAGGAAAAGCTATAAGGAGTCTTACAAGAATTTATCTAATGTGGAAAGTAAATGACCTTTTGATATTTTCCAATGCCTTGTATTTTTTCCCCATTTTCCCCCGTTTTTATAGAAAAAATATACTATTTTGGGGTGTGACCATGGCAAACAGCAGTGGAAAGGGGAAGAAATCTTTGTGAACAATGTATCTGCACATTTATTTAGGTTAATCTGAAAATTACAGAAGCCCAAACAAGTTTTATTTCCTCAATGTTAAGGTAAAACCAATCATGAAGTCAATTGAAGTTTTAATTGGTAATTAATCCATTTATGTGAATAGATAAAACTCAAAATAGGGATTATTTGAAAGTTTCATTAATTCATTGCACACTGAATGTTCACAATCGGTAAGAAAACTAGGAAGTAATTGACTGCATGCACCAAAAACCCCGAAACCGAAATCTCAGGTATTCAGTTTCTTTTCACAGGCATTGCGAGTTTGAAAACCAAAACTCAGGGAATACTGGTCCTCAGAGGGAAAAAGTTTCCACTGTCATTTAAAATAAGCATTCAAGATGAAAACTAACAGCTTGCATGGAGCAAAAAGAAAATTAGGTAATGCTAAAACAAATGCTAATAATTTAGTGTAATGTACAAAAATGATGACTTTTACTTAAGTATGCCTTAAGAAAGTACAAATTGTATTTACATAATTATACACTTTGTCTTTGACTTCTTTTTCTTCTTTTTACCATCTTTGCTCATCTTCTCTTTATGTTTTCGAATTTCCCGAACTAATGTATAGAAGGCATCATCAACACCCTGAAATATACAAAAAAATATTGAAATATGATTAAAATATGTGAGGCAAACATGACAAAAGGGTATTTTAGTAGTAAAAATGTTGATACGAAGAAAGATTAAAGAAAATTCACAATTCTCTTTAGCTAACTGATATGTCAAACTTGGCAGTCTTCAATATGGTTCTTCATGTATAGCTGGCCAATATTATAAGTAGAAAACTACTTTTGCAATGGGTGATGATAATCAATGATATATAATAACTTTTTCCCATTAGCAGAACTTTAATTTGCTACTAATTTTCCACAGTGGAAACCCCACCTATCAAGAACATTACACTAATTATTCCTTAGTTATTTCTACACTTTCTATATAAGCCATGCAAGTATATTATACTATTTTCATATATATTCAGGAGTATATAAGTTCTGGTTCAATATATATAATACATAACTTAATAAGTAAATAATATTTGAGTACATACAGGTTTCAAATAAGACACACTAAGATGCCAGTTTCCAAGTTTCTTATTAAGAGATTTTAAATGACCCCAAAATAAGATGCACTATTTTAATTTGTGGGAAAATTGAGTCAAATATTTGAATTGCTCCTAGTTTGCAGGAGATTGTTCTGTATTATTGTTTGTTAGTAAGTTATTCAAAAGCTAATATACAAAGCCAAATGTATCTTCAAAGAGTTTTCCATCAGTTATTGTGGCCTACATGTATCTGTTAGTAAAAAAGGTATTAAAAATCAGTTAGAGCTAACAGCGGTTTCAAATCAGAATAATAAACCTAGTAGTAACCTATTAACATAAAAAATAGGTATCAGAAAGTAAAAGCAGGACAGCTTTTTGACCCTGAAAAACGTAATTATAAGATTCACACATCAATCATTTTCATTGTGGCCCTTGTGAAAAAGCAAAAGAAATGAAAAAACAAAAATTTTTAAAGAAAAACATCCCGGGTACCATATATAGAGTATAAGCCGAGTTTTTCAGTATATTTTTTAATGCAGTTTTTGTGGTAGGTGCCTCAGTGGATATTCGAGTCGGCTTATACCTGAGTACATATGACATCTTTTTAAAATTTTCTTTTCTTTTTACATGTTATTTATCCAATGTATTTTCTTTTTAAATCATTTTATTGGGAGCTCATACAACTCTTATCACAATCCATACATCCATCGTGTCAAGCACATTTGTTGCCAACATCATTCTCAAAACATTTTCTTTGTAATTGAGCCGTAAGTATCAGCTCATTTCCCGCTCCTTCCCCCACCTTCCCTCCATCACGAACCCTTGCTAATTTATACATTATTTTTTCATGTTTTACACTGTCCGATGTCTCCCTCCACCCACTTTTCTGTTGTGTCCATACCCCAGGGAGGGG